CCTGCCATAAACACGCTGCTGCGGGTCAGCCCGGTTCAGTGGCGGCTGCACCGGGGCCAGGACAGTGTGGCACCGCGGCCGCCCCAGCGGGACCGAGGCCTGATGACGCTTCTGCAGGCAGAGCCCGGGTCCCTGCCCTCCGGTGTGGGATGCGGGCACGGTGCAGCATGGCACAGCCGAGTATGGGACAGGGTCAGGCCAGGCGGCAGGAATGGGACCCGGCAGCCGGGGCTGAGAAGAAAGCATGAGGGAAGCGAAAGCAGGAACCCGAAAGTGAGAGCAGCCCTGAACCGCCCCCCCCCCCAGGGCTGGGAGCTGCCCCCACAGTGGCCGGAGCTGGAAGAGATGGTGACTGGGCAGCTCTGATGGGAAAGCCGGCTGCTCCACCCTGGCTGGCAGTGGGGCAAAGCGTGGGCTGTGGGGCCGCTGTGGGGCACTGCCTATAGGGTCCAGATCCTGTGGTCTGAGTGGGCACCCAGCTCTAGGGATGGGGGGGAGGGCAGGTCACACTCCCCATGCTGGTGGGTTTCCAGCAGAGCTAACGTGCCTGGATGAAGGCAGAGGGGATGCAGAGGGCTCCCGCCCCTGCTAATGGCAGCGTGGTGCTAATTCCCAGGCCTCATGCTGATGGACACTGAGGAAACTGCATCTCTGGAAGGAAAATAAGGGAGAAAACCCACCTGAGGAGCCCCCCTGTGGCAGGCTGGCATCTCGGAGCATGCAGGGCTCAGAAGCTGATTTTGGTCGAACCCCACCAGCCTCCTGAGCAGCTGAGCCTGGAAGCAACGTTAGTCCATGGGGACGGTCAGGAGCTGCAGCGAATCCAGCCCGGGGCCCTTTATCCTGAGTTGGGGCGAGGTGAGCCCTTGGTGTTGGTGCCAGCACAGCCAAACGCCATGGTCTGAGCCAGGATGGGATGCACGCAGGACAACAGGCAGGTTGTGTTCCTCTGGCATGGCAGCCGCTGGCAGGGCTGGCAGATGGTGGCACTTGGGGACCGCGCTGTGCTGGAGCTCTGGGTCTGACCTCTGCCACACCTGGCAGCGGGCGCTGCTGCCGAGACCTTGCTTGGCTCAGCTCTGCTGCGTATTAAAGTTTGAGAGTGATGCAATATTTGACTGTTGTTTTACGGGTGTCGGGGAGGCAGGGGTGGCTTGTGCTCTGCAGCCCAGCTCAAAGCCGCCCTGAACAAGGGTGTGACGAGGAGGAGGCTTACATAGGCATTTGGAGTGGAGCATCCCACCGCTCGTTCCCTGTTCCACCTTGACAGCAGCACACGACTGGACAGAGGAAGGACGGAGGAGGAGACCGCAACGCAGGTCTCCCCTGGCAAACCAGCAGGTACAGAGCAGCATTTCATCCCTGCAGCCAGCCCTGCCCAAGCTCCACGGGCATGCAGGCACAGGGCTGGGCATGGCTTTGGCCAGGGGCTGGCGCAGGGCAACGGCAGGAGCTGGGGTCAGGGCAGGGCACTGACCCTCCGTGCTGCCTGCGGCCTTTGTGCCACCCATGCGCTCACCATTGCCTGGCACCAGCACCCGGCAGAGCCGTGGGCAAACGTTCCCGCCTGCTCACGGCGCTCAGGTACGTGCTGCCCTGCTACGTGCAGCCTGCGTGCCGGAGAGCAGCCGGGTGCCAGGAGGGTCTGCTCCGGCTGCGGAGGACGCACTTCTGCCTGTGCAATCTGACCCTGCGATGGTTTGGAAACGTGAACGGCGGCTGCGATGGGCTGCGTGGGAGCAGCCGCGCTGCCGAGCTTGGGGCACGTGCAGCCCTGTGGAGGGCGAGGGGAGCGGGGGGCTGGAACCTGCCGAGGCAGCTGCCCCAGGGCTGGGCCGGGTAAGGGGGAGGCTTGCGGTTTCCCTGCCTCATTGGAGCCGCCGGGGTCATTGCAACAGCAGTCAGGGAGCGGGGTGCTCGGCGCAACCACCCAGCACCGGCTGCGGCCCCGCGCAGCCCTGCGCTTTCCCTGCTCGCTGCCTCTGCCCGCACACGAGCAGGGCAACCCTTGACATTGCTGCAGCCCCACCGACAGGCACGGCTGCGGGCATGGACTGGACTGGGTGGCCAACGCCGGCTCTCTACAGAGCAGCTTGGTGCCGCAGGGCGTTCAGAGCCGTGTCCCTGTGGGAAGACCCTGCACAAGCGCCTGGGAGGACGGAGGAGGAGAGCCTCTAGCAGGTCCCCGGGCAGGAGGCGGCCAAGCCCCGGGGGTCTCTGCCTCCCACCCCCCCTTGCAACACTACTAGTCAAATTGCTTGGCCCCAGGGGCTGAGGCTGTAATCACGGTTGTGCCACAGCCTCTCTAATCCCTGTCTGCGGGTTTATCCCCAAGGAACTGTCAATATTGCACAGGCTGGACTCACCCGGGGCCAGCGGGACCCTGGGGCTCAGCTGGCTGCAGCTGGGGCCCCATGCGAGCTGCTAGCTTGCTTAATGCCAAGAGTTGCTCGCTCTGGACTCCCTGCAGCACAGGGCCGCCCTGGCAGGTGGCTGCCCGTCCCCGTGGGGCGGCCCCATCCCCATCACACGCATCTGTGTCCCAAGCAGCTTATCTGCATTTGGAAACCCCTAATCCGTTTGCACGTTTGGCTCAGACACCGTCCCTGCTCCCTCCCCGCTGTGCTGCCGGAGGGGGCGGCCACAGTCGTGGGGATGGAGCAAAGCCGTCCCCGTGACCTCCTTTTGGAGCTACAAACAACTCCATTCCCCCACTGCCTGGCCCTCCCACCCGGATCCCGCTGCAGCACCCAGCATGGGGAGAAGGTGAGGAGCTCAGCCCCTCACAAACTGCAGCCCCCCAGGGATGGCCTGGGCAGCAGGAGGGGGGACAGTGTGATGGCAAGTGCCCCTTGCCTCGGCCACCCCCCAGTGCCGGTGCTGCTGGGGTCCAGCCAGCCCAGCCCAGCGACCTTCCCCAGGTGCTTTCTCCTGCTGCAAATCAGGCCGTGGCACTTGCCAAACGTGCTGCCAACAGGAGCATTCACAACATCAACCCCTGAGATCAGCTCAGCGGCCAATTAACCCCATTAGTCAAGGGCCAGGCCCCCTGGCTAAACTCGGGGAGCAGGGCAGGTTCCAACAGGGATGCAGCAGGGTGTGTGGGTGCAGGGAGATAAGAAACCACTTATCTGCAGGAGCGCGGGACAGGACGCTGCGTTCCTGACAGCAAACGGTTTTGGCAACCCCAGGGTTTGCATATCAGCAAGAAAATTCCTTGTTCCGGGGTTTTCCACCCTATCCTGCAGCTGGCAAAAGGGAGCTGGGAATCACCAGGGAAGGAGGGGGGGGTGTCCCTGGGGCTGAGCTGTGTTCCTATGGGACCCACCTCCCCCAGCACCCCGGGCTGCACTGCCAAGAGCAAACGCACAATCCCATGCAGCTGCCATGGGGGCAGGAATGGGTTTGCCAGCTGTGTGCAGAATCCTGGTTTGGTTCGATGGTGAAATGGAGGGTCCTGGTGGGGCTGGTTCCCAGAGCAGGGACACACGATGGCCTCAGCATTTAGCTCAGACGTAAGCAGGATGCTCCAGGGGGTGGGGAGGGCATAGGAGGCTTCAGGTCCACCTCCAACGCCTTGAACCAGCCCAGTGCAGCTGGTTCCACAGGGGCTACAGGGGATTTATTGAGCATGACCTGCATGAAAAAAAACCCTGCTAATCCTGCTCTGACTGAGCAATAATCTCTCCCTCTCGGCCTCATCAGAGCCCCAACCCTGCAACAAAAATCCTGCTGCTCCGTGGCTTTGCAGAGGGCCGCAGGTGGCAAGCGCTGGGGGTGCAGATCCCACAGGGGCCCTGGGGGAGATGCTGGTGCTCTACGGGCAGCACAGCCCTGCTGCTGCCTGCCTGCTCCCAGCTCCAGCCCAGAACACACACACACGCACACCCGCCCCACGCAGGCACCTTGCCCTACAGAGCCTGGGACCTGCTGCCCTCAGCCCCAGCACTAGCCCAGGGCAATAGCGAGGGGCGACTCTGGGGGACACCCCGAGAGGGCAGGGCAAGCCCACACTGCAGCCCTGGGCCTGTGGCCAGGTCCCCGCAGGGCCCCCAAGCAGCCACCCCCTCACCCAGCCCAGGGATGCAGCCCCAAGGAGAGGGGCGGTGGAGAAAGTCAACTCCACCCGGAGCCCAGTGACCCACCACCCCCCCGAGGCAGAAGCACCCGTGGGGGGAACAGCACAGGGGTCCCAGTGCAGCCCCAGATGCCACCGAGCAGGCGGCAGCCCGAGCAGGGCCCCGGCGCAGCCATGTCCTCCCACGCTGGCACCGGAGTTTCCTTTACGCAAGTGGAGGAGACCCAGGCGCTGCGCCGGGGGCAGACAGAAAAAACCAGCCCTGTGCTGCAGCATGGTGATACACCCCCCCGCCATCCCCCTGCTCCCCCAGGGAAGTGCCCTGCCATGCTCCGATAAGGCAGGCGGCCCGAAAGCAGCCTGCCCACGCGTGCCGGGCAGCGGCGCAGGTCAGGTGCAGGCAGCACTGCGCAGCGGGGGGCGGGTGTGTGCTGGTTTGCGCTGAGCAAACCGCAGCTCTGGCGTCAGGGCCGGCGTTTCGCTGACAGAGGCCCCAGTTCCCGGAGTGGGGTAAGGCAGGCGCCGCACACAGACAGCTGAACTCACACGCCGAGAGCATGTCGCTTCAGAGCCTTTATTTTGGAGAAAGTTAAAGCCTGTAGATACAGCAATAAAATATACAAAAAAATAAAATTTTTTACAGTATTGAACGCTGCCCAGGTCTACAGTGACTGCAGCTGGAGGCAGCTGCACGGGAGCACTGGGGCAAACGGCCCTCGTCCCCTCTGAGCACCTCCCAACTTCAAAGGGCATTCCTGTCCCCAGGGCGAGCCACGGACACCCTCTCCTGCCCACACACAGCTAAAGGGGCTGGCCCGAACCCCACAGCCCTCTCTCCCTTTCCCCTGGGGATCCTACCCCCTGCCCTGCCCTCTGGCTCTCTGCCCACAGGCGGCGATGCTTCAGTGCAGCCCACGCTGCGGGGACATCCCAGAGTCTTTACTGGGCAGAAAAGCCAGAGCCACGCGACGGGTCCACCCTGCACCACAGCAGCATCGCTGGTACAGACGATTGAGGGTCTCTCTCCACCCAGGGCCAAATCAAGACAAATCAAGAGACCTGTAAAGCCTGGGGCTGGTGCCCACTCAGACACTTCTCTGCTGATGTTACCCACAGCCTCAGCGCCGACAGCTCCCACGTGCTGCCCCGAAGCGCCAGGCCCGGCTGAGCACAGCACACAACCCCCTTGGTGCCACCCACCACGGGCAGCTGCAGCCCCACAAACACCACGGGCTTCCAGATGCTGAGGGCAGGGAGTGCAAGCAGCTCTCCCACTGCCTCTCCTGCCCCTTCCTTGCTAATTCGTGTCTGCATGCCCACCGCACGGAATGGGCAGGAGGGCTCCTCCCGTTTTGGTAAATAAGCCATTGGCCAGCACAACTTCCACCTTTTCTCGACCTCCTGGGCAAGGAAACCTGCCCTCTGCAACAACCACGTCTCCGTCAAGCACTGGCCAACAGCAGATTCCTCCTCCTACGTACATCCTGCTCCCTTCAACTCTTGCCACCTCCTACCTTAACAGCAACAGCCAACCTCTAACAAAAATGCCACGCAAAGCCCCCAGGAAGCTGCAAACCCACTGCCTGGGACGTCACAAGCCATACCGGAGGGAAAAGGGCCAGGCCGGGCCATCCACTGCAGGCCACGTTGGATCCAACAGTCTCCCATCCTCCCCCCCAGCGTCCAACGGGTCTAATTCTGCACAGCGAGGGAGGCACAGCCGTGCTCCTGTCATTAGCATGGCCACAGGGCAAGCCACGGTCAGGGCAGCCTCTGTGGTTATACCCAGGTCCCGAAACAGACCCAAGATGCAAATGCTGCATGCTTACGAGCATGCACTGGTGTCGGGACACATCACTGCCCTGCCCCAGGGCAGCCTTTGCACCACAGGGAAACCAGTTGTCCCAGCAGGAGCCCTGGGGCTGCTGGAGTCAGCTGGATCTCTGCGCCCACAGCAGGAAGTTGGTGGCAAGCACAGGCAGCCACTGAACTCCCTGCTCCCAGCAAAGCCCAGGCTGAGCCCAGCCGAACCATCACCCTCACAGGGCAGGAGCGCCGGGGCCTATCTACCTTGCAACTCTGAGCCACGAGCTGGTCCTCCAGCAAAGGGCCAAAGGTGCGGAGAGGGGATCCCTCTGCACTCTGCAAGCTCTGGGAGGGCTGCTGGGGCAGCAGCAGGGCAGACCCCTGTTGCATGGCGCACCAGGTAACCCATGCGGAGGCCAGGAACGGCCGATCCCTTCTCAGGCGCCTGGAGGCAAAATCCAGGCTCATAGGATCTTCACGGGCTTTTAGACTCTGGCAGTCAGGAAAGCAGCTTTCAACAGCAGGCAGCGCAACTGGGGCTGCAGAAGCATTTGTAAAAACTGAGGCTGCGATTGGAGGCTAATAGGCACTTGAATGAGCGAAACAATAATAAAAAACTGTTATGGAAGGAAATAGAAAAAGGTTCATCCCCCCCTCCCCCCAAAGAGACGAACGGCACCACCCCGGAGAGGGTGGTGTTCATCTGGGTCAAACAAGGAATCAGTGGCAAGGACCCCAGCCCCCAGCTCCTCCCGAGGAAAGGCCCAGAGCAACCATGACCGAGCAGGGCGAGACCAGGGGAGCTCTTTGGAGGCGGCAAGCCCGAGTCCTGGGAGGGCCCCCGCGAGTGCCGGCGGAGCACCTCACATCGGTGAAGAAGCACACTCCGGGGTCAGCTCCATGTCAAAGGTCAGCGACTCTGCGGGGAGACACAGCCAGAGGTTACAGGGCCCATGTGTGGCTACAGCCAGGACCCCCTTGGGTGCCACGACACGCCAGACTCACCAAACTGCCCCCCTGCATTAGCCTCTGCTCCCTCACTGCTGTTGCCAAACTGCATGAGCGAGTCCAGGGTGCGCGGGGACATGGGCAGGTCTATGCTGTTGCTGAAGGAGGTGCTGTCCGAGGGTGGAAGGGAAAAAAACCAGAAACCTCCAGAGTCAGTGCCTGGCCAGAGCTCTCCGGTACCCCCTCTCCCCCCTGACAGGCCCCAGGGCACGGCACAGCCAGTCTCAAGAGCTCTCCAGAGGAAAGGGGCCCCAGGAGGGGAAGAAGCAGCCTGTGGTTAGGGCAGTGAGCCAGAACCTGGCTCAGCCCCCGTGGTCTCCCCCTGCCCAGGCTGGGAGCCTCATGGTACCCAGGCAGAGTCCAGGCAGCGGTGGGAAGGAAACCCCCCTCAAGCAAGGCTGAGCACACAAATGCCGCCTCAGCACTCAGAGATACCCCCCCGGAACACTCACGGAGTGACACAGATGAACTTGGTCTTCAGATACGGAGCAGCACCTGCAGAGGAGTGAGCAGCCTTGTCAAGAGCCGCCAGAGGGGGAACCTTGCTCTCATCCCCCTCCAGAGCACAGACCTGCAGACAGAGCCCACCCTCCCAGCCCTGGCACAGCCCTCGCTGCCTGCACTCCATGGGGACCCCACTGCTAGTTCCCTGATGTGGCTATGCCCTCCAGGGACCAGCACAGGATCCTGGCTGGTGACAGCTCTTCCACCAGTGCTGTCCCTGGAGCCTCCTCACAACACAGGAGCCATGCTGGAGCGCAGAAAGTCAACAACTACCTGAGTCAGTAGCTTCAGAGTGCTCCTGGCTCTCAGAGCGGCAGTACTTCCCAAATGCCTCCTCCTTCGGGATGTCTGGGTACAGGTACACCAGGGGGGACACCAGGATGTTGGTGGCATCCATGATTTTGTAGCCCATGATGATCTCCGCAAATGACATGTTGTTCAGCTGCTGCTTGGTGTAAGGCTCCACAGACTGGATCTGGGTCTTCCCTGTACAAGGAGACTTTTGACACAGGGCAAGACACCCACGTTCCTCAGGCAAAGACAGGGCCCTCCTCAAACACCCCAGGAGCAGCAGGGACAAGATCGGCCTGGGGCTGTGCTCAGCCTCACGAGGCACCCAGCAGACCACGGGACAGGACGGGGACCTGCCAGGTGGTTTCAGGGTCACAGAAAACTGCGCCACATGGGTGGCACATAGACAGGGACACTCAGGAGGCAGAGACCAGCAAAGGGCACCCAGGCTCAAAGAGTTAACCTAGGAAGAGCTCTTGTCAGGACAAGGACAAATAACAAGTGTCTTATCAGGGCGTTCCAAGCCCCCTTCGGAGCCAGGAACACTGGCTGAGAAAGGCACCGCACCCAGGGCAGCAAGGGGAAGAGCAACATACCGCTGATGTCCTTCTCCACCCACGTGAAGGTGATGCCACCTTCCTTGCTGCTCTCGCTGAACCGCAGCAGGAAGGTTCCTGGAGGCTTGGTGCTCAGGATGGCTCGCTCCCGCTCCTTGCTGATGAACCCCATGATGTACCTGGGCAGCAGAAAGTGAGGACAGCAAGGGTGGGTCAGGATACCGGGGCAGCTATTCCAGGATGTGAATTCTGCCAGCTCTCTGCACAGCATCAAGCAGCAGCAGGACCTGGGCTGGCCACCAGCAGAGCCACCAACATTTTAAGGACTCCCAGGTGGGTTTTCACTCTGAACCAGCCAACAGGGCATGGACAGAAAAAGCATCCCAGGAGAGCCCACCTGGACGAGGTGCCTGGACGAGGCACCCCGCTCCATCAGGACACGACTCGTGGGACCCCTCCCAAGACCCAGCCCAACCAAGGGTCTCTGGACTGACACTGGCCGAGGCTCACCCTTCGTTCCACAGCGCCAGGATGTACTTTTTCACCAAGTCAATGATGTTGTCCAGCCAGACCCAGAAAGAAAAGCCTTTGCCAGCCATGTTCTCCTGAGGAAGAGGAGAGAGAGGCCGTGAGCATGGCTTGGAGGAAGGGAACAGCCAAGGGAAGGTGCTGAGGGGAAGAGAGCAAGTTATACCTTGCAGAACTTGGCCCAGGTGATCTGACAGCCAGAGTAATTCACACCTGGCCCTGGCAGAGAACAGGAGCATCAACATTTAGATAGAGCTGTTCTTCCAAAGACACCACACTTCCAGGGAGCAACCCGAGGTTTGTGTTGTTTGGGAGAAAACCAAGCAACTGAAAATTATAGCTCCTCTCCCAAACAACACGATCTTGCTCCTGTATTGCATTTACAGACGAGAAGCCACCCTGAGGGACAGCAGGGACGGGCAGGACACCCACAGCAGGTTACCTAGAAGTTTTTCTGCCAGCGTTGTCAGCTGCTCGATGCTGAGGCCGCGCTTTGTGGTGGAGGAGAACTGCCAGCTCAGCACCTCTGCCACCTGGTCCCAGGTCCCAATGGGGGGTTTGGTGAAGAAGTTCACGTTCTGCGTGAGGGAAAACACAGCCCTGAGCAGGACACGGGACAGAAGCAGGGCCAGGTCCTGCCCCAGCCCTGCTCCCAGGCCACAGCTTCCCTCTCCCTGCCTGCAGCCTGCCTGCTGGGACACTCTGATCCCAAAGCCTGCACTGCTGCTCTGCCAGCTGCCCCCACAGCGCCAGGCCCTACCTTGGGGTTGTTAGTCAGCATGTTGTACCACAGGATGGATGCCCAGGCATTGGGCATCTGGCAGATGTTGGAGATGACCACCACAGGCAGTGAGTGGGTCTGCAAAGACAGGATGTGACCATGGGCTAGGACATCTCCCAGGGCTCCTCTGCACCCAGGCCCATGGCAGTGACAGGCAGTAACCCACAGCTCACCTCCAGGTCGATCTTCAACCCCTGGTGATACACCTCTGTCTCGAAGGTGATGAGGTGCAGCTCCTCAGTGACTATCAGCGAGGCCTAAGATGGAAGAGGACACAATGAGCACGCAGGAGACACCTGCCCTCAGCCTGACACACAGCCATCAGGCCCAACGCTGCTGCTTAGGTCTGGGTGAAGAGGGCTGGTCTGGCAGCTGCCAACACACCAGAGAGTGCCTGTGGACACTCCCTCTCAGGGCAGGGCTCCTGCTTCCCCTCATGGCTCAGCTGCGAGACAGGGAGCAAGACAGGGAGCAGAGCTGCTGGCAAAGGGCTCTCCTACCCAGGGCTCCCCCAGCACTTACATCACAGTTGGCTCTGCCTCCATTACCGCACCGTTGCTCCCGCAGGGTCTGTGGAGAGAAGGAACAGGCTGAAGCAACACCATGACGGCACACAGCCTTAACAGGAGCAGCCTGAAAGCTCGTGATACCTACCAGGTGCTTGAACTCTGCTGAGAGGCTACCATTGTTTGACTCCTCCATGTTCATGACCTTGGTGTTTGTCCCCAGGATGTTAAATTTCCGGGACCTCGAAAGAGGAAAGACAGAGCGTGGCTGACAGGGCCCTCTCAGAGCAAACGTGCAGCAGGCGTTTGCCAGGATTAAAAACAGAAGCAAGAAAAGAAAAGACATTGCACTTACCCCCGAAGTGCTGCAACATCCCCGGAGTCCCTAGGAAAGGGGAGAGACACACCCGGTCATGGCCATGGCCTTCCCACCCTGATGTAGACCAGCTGGTGTGTGGGGCTGGCTACATCACAACATCAAGTCCCACAAGCCCCCCAAGGCTGTTCCCCCACATGGGAACAAACCCCTGGGACCCAGTGCCACCCTGCACCCTCCCCTTCTACTGGGCGTCACACTGGCCCTCAGTGCGGGGATGGAGCCTGACCCAACGGCAGCAGGAACAAGTCCCACTCCAGTAAACCCACTCAAAATCGCCAGGATCAGAGCACAGGACTCACTTGTCAATGCAGACTTTAATTTTCAGCTGATAGTTCAGCTCTGGAAACTTGACCAACAACCTGCAAAGAGTTAGCAGACACAGAGTGTGAGCGTGAACATCCTGCGCAGGCGAGCAACTCTAATTCAACACAGCATCTGGCACAGACTGCAGAACAGCTAGATGGACAGCAGTGCTGTGTGCCTCCCCCCAGCAAACAGCACCGCAGTTCACACCACAAAATTCAGAGATGCGGTATTACCCAGCTCCTCCGGCATCCCTGAGCCCATCTGCATGCAGACCTCTGACACGTCAGCCCCGACACCTGTCCCCAGAACTGGGGAGGTGCCCATGCTCCCCTGAGCACCCTGAGAAGGGCTCGGTTTGGCTGCTGACTGCCTGCACCAGGCAGACATCTGCTCTGAACAAACACCCGCCACACTGCTCTGTGGCAAGATGCTGCCACATCCCAAGGGGGCAACGGGCACAGCTGGGAGATGCTGAAGAAGTTCCAGGTAGAGTTTGGTGTTGGAGCAGCTGCTCTCTGTGGGAGCTGGTAGGGAACACAGGCCAGCTGAGACACAGCTGGCCAGAGATGCGTTGACTCTTCCTGCTCCCCACCCCTGCAGCGGGATTTACCAGAATTCTGGCTGCCTCCAGGAACGCAGCAGAGCCCCAGCCAGCAGCCACCATCCCTGCACTGAGTCACACAGGCGGCACTCCAGCAGGGCCAGCCTGCTGGGATTCATTCCCTCCCAGCACCAGCACTCCCCAGGCAAGCTGGAGGCTGGATCTGCACCAGCATCTCCTTCGGAGAGAGATCCTGCTTTGCTTTCCCCCACACGGCTCATTTCCCCTGCCCGTAGTGCAGCAGGATCGCAAGGACCGGTGACCCACCTGACTTTAGTGGTGAACTGCACGCCAGTTTTGATGACCAGGGGCCGGTCGGGGTGCATGGGCATGCAGGGCTGCCTCTCCACAACGAAAGCACTGCAGGGAAAGGCACAAGAACCACAGTTAAACCTCAGCCTGGCCCAGCATGCTCACTGCCCACCCCTCCACCCGCTGCCTGTGACCAGGGGACTGTCCACAGCTCCCTCCCAGCCCTTGACACCTTTTCATCAGGTTCCTGAACAGCTCCACAATCCGCTCCTCCAGCATGGGCCGGTGTTGGACAATTGGGTCACCCTTGTAGGACACTTTCTGCTGCAGTTCTTCCAACTTCTTGATCTGCTGCCGGGTCTGTAGCTGTGATTCAGCAAGAGAGGTTATCCTAGGGGAGCAGGAAGAACCAGTGTTAGCTCTGGCTGCCGAGCCCTGCATGGTCCCAGCCCGCAGAGCCCTACTCTTCTCTTGCTTGGGCAAGAGAGGATGCTCTCTATACCAAACCAGCAGAGAACAGAACATGCCTATGGCTCCTGGCCCAGCGCATTTTTCTAGGCCATGCATTACAAGAGAAACCTACACACACCCAAGTTCTGCAGAGACACAACAGGAACTTCTCACAGCAGCCTCAAAGTCCCACAGGCCTGGGGCTAACCATTCCAGCACTAGAGCCCACTATCGAGGCTCAGCCTGACTAGCAGATTACATTTATGCTTGCAGGCATCAGAAGCCATTTTGCAAAGATGTTTCCAGAGGCAAAGAGCTCACTTCCACTACAGGTGTTTGAATGCCACCTCTCTGGTGACTGATCCAACCCCCAGCCAGCTCCTACCAGTTCTCGAGCCGGTCTAAGCAGATATTTGGTGGGCCACCAATGCAGGCGATCTGCTGCCGTCTCTTCCAGTCTGCCAATTCCTCATCTGCCAGCATCTTCTGCACATACTCCATAGCTGACAACAGTCCAGCCAGCTCACTCACAATACCCTGTCAAAAAAGAAAGCAGAACCTTCAACACCCTCTGACTCCCTCCAAGATCTGCAAGTTTTACATTCACAGACAAGAAAGAAGTCGCCCAGGGCTGCATTTCCAGCACTGCTCTCAGTTCTGGCCATGCAGGAACACCAAACGCATACCCCAGGGGGATCTGGAGGGCCAGCTGCACGACATACCCTTCGCATTTGGTCCAGTGCCGTGAGCATCTGTTCCAGCTGCTGCATTTTCTGCCGGGTCACCGACTGATTGTTTCCATTCAGGTCCTGCATGTCTGTGCAAAGAAGTGAGAAAGCTTCAGCCATGCACATGGACTCCTCCTACCCTCCCAAGCATCACACAAACAAAAGACTTCCACTGCAAAGGAGTGGGCACCCTAGAAAAACTTTAATAGTTAAGCAGCGATCTCACACAGCCTCTAAGCACCTTGCTGGCTTTCCTGCAGGCAAAGCAGCGCTATCACCCCCACACGCCATTTCTCTGCTCACAGGCAGAGCTCTGGTTCAAATTCCCTGGAGGCAGTGTCAGAAGGCAAGGTTTCTCCAATTGCCATGCAAATGTCCTGAGCCTAAGCCACCCTTCTTGCTTGGAGAGGAGGCACCAGGAAGACTGGAACGTGCCCTCCAGTAAGTTTCCTAGCAGGAACACACTTTGGTTTGCCAGATGCTAATGAGCTTCCATTACCTCCTTGGCTTTTCAAAGTCTTGTAGTTAAAATCAAAGTCATCCTGGAGATTCTCCACCACTTTCATCTTCTGCTCCAGATCCTGCAAGGCAAGAGATGTGGATTTATTCAAAGCACTAAATCACCCCTGTGGGTAAAGGAGAAGGTGCCTAGGCAGCACTCATACCTGCACCCTCTTCCTCACATCCTGCAGATGCTGCTCCAGCATCTGCTGCTTTTCCGTCACTACAGCTGCTGTCGGATGTGTTGCCTGTCCCCCTTGCTGCAGAGGGGACAAGGAGGGCATTAGAACAGGGCCATGACCCAGGGACACTCCCCTCCCTGCCTGAGGAGGTTTTGCAGGAAGGGTCTTCACAACCTCACTAACAAAACCCAGTGCAGCTGGCTGCTCGCTTGCAGCATTAGCTCCAGGGCTGCACAGCAAGGTGCATGGTGCAGGGCGCACCCCAAGCAAGGGGCAAGAGGAGAGACAGATGCACAAAGCTAACAGCCACCCCAGACAGAGAGCACCCAGGCTGCATCCTGGTGGGAAGCAGCTGCTGCCCAGAGAGCAGAAGTTATCAGCCACCGCAGCTGGACCATCCCTCAGCACAAAGCAGCTGTCGTTATTGAAGGAAGCGAGTGGGGAGCTTCAGACTGCAGCTTCCCTACAGCATCAAGTACCCAAACAGTGCTGCTGGGTGGGCGGTGGGACAGTGGCCCCTGGTCACCCAAGCCACTGACCTGGGCTGCAGTGGCAGCTGTCTGGAGGAGCCGGGACTCTTCCCACAGGCAGCGAGCCACGATGCGGGCTATTTCCATTGGCTTCTCCAAGTATCTGCTCTGTAAAAGGTTCAAATCCCCAAGTTTAGCAGGCACAATGTAACTCCCAGCATCCTTTAGGGGTGTGGGTCGTGAGCTGTGCTGAGGAAGCCATTGGACTTCCACAGGCTCCCCCAATGCCTCCCCATGCCAAACCAGTGCTTCCCATCTCACCTGCAGGAACTGCTTGATGCGCCGCAGGTTGTGCTGGTACAAGACGTTGGACTCCTGCAGGAAGCGGCTGTACTGCTGGTCGATCTCCCCCAGCAGGTTGTGGAACACCAGCGTAGCATGCGACTCCTTGCTGGCGGCGTACGCCCTGCATGAGGGAGGGCAGAGTCCTGGGTGCCCGGCACAGGGGAAGGGACAAGGCAGCACTGCAGCCAGCACTGCAGGCAGGGCAGGTCTGCTCACGCCTGCCATCCCCCACGCAATTTAACACCCCAGCCATCTTCCTAACCTGCACCAAAGCAAGGGCTAGAGCAGGCCTGACTTGCTTCACGCCAATAAACCGAGCCCTTGGACTGCACCCGCAAGGGCAGCGCGACACAGAGGTTTTGGACTCGGACTTAAAGTCTGGCCTTAAGCCAGGCAGACAGTGCATGCAAGCACCTCACCAGTCCCATGTGCTCTCTGGATGGGATCCAGGAATCAGTGCTCTGTGTCAACCTCGCTTACAACAGAGGTCAATGTAAGTCAGCCCTGAATGGGGACACCTCTGCTTTGGAGCTCTCCCTTCTCCTGGTCCGGGGTCTGGCACTATGCACACAGAGTCCCACTCCCCTTCCCGCCACACGAGCCTCAGGGAGGAAGACCAGCCCTGCCATGTCAAGAGCCCAGGGAAAGTGGCAGAGCTCCTCCAGACCTGCTGCCTCCCCAGTGCAGGTGTCCGGAGCAAAGTCCCTATGCCAGCATTTCGCAAGAACTTACCAGTCCTGGCTCTCAATCCACGGGGCCAGAAACTGCCGGAGCTCCATGGGAAAGCTGTCGCTGTAGAGCTGGTGGAGCTGCTCCAGGTATCGCGTGTCGAGCTGCTGCAGCTGGTTCCACTGGGCCATCCTGGCCAGCTCCGGAGACCTGGTGGGATGGGCACACATGCTGCTCAGAGCTGGCACCCAGGACTCTCCAAACTCCCTCCTGCCAGCCATTCAGCAGGACCCAGCCACAACCGCTGCTCCCCTTTGGGGTGGGCTGACGGGGCAAGAACCAGAGACAGCCAGGGCACGGCAAGCCTGGGGCACACAGCTCCGAGAGGGCTGGCACTGGCAAGGGCCAGGCAGTGCCCATCCCTCCAAGGGTAGCTGCTGTGTGCACAGCTCTGGGCCCGCGACACTGCAGAGCTCCAACGCACCCCAAGGGATGAGCCCAGGCCCCGTGTCCCCGAGGAGCTGATCACACATCCAGGAGCCGGTTCCTCTTCAGCAAAATCCACCCCGAGCCAGTAGCCACAGGACCAGTTCAAGGAGCCCTGGGACTAGCACCAGTTTGTGCTTCCAGGCTGGGGTCTGGCAAGGCAAGAGTGGCTGCCAGCTCGGGCTGGCAGGGCAGGCACCTCTGCCGTCACCCATGGGTGGGCCTGGGTCAAGAGAAGGCGGAACTGCAGGCTGAAAATGCATCCTTACTGTGGGAATACTGGCACGCATGCCTCGGGGAGGCTGGGGAAGGAACCAGCCTGGCTGCGAGGGGAAAAGCCCTTTTCACACCCGCTGACATCCGTGCTGCAGCACTCGACCCCGGAGCCCCCGACGGCGCAGTACACGGCCACGCAGCCTTGCCTGCCTGCAGGGTGAGCAGCAAAGCAGCCAGAGCACCAAAAAGTGAGGGCCCAGCAGCACCACTTCATCCCGAGAGCTCAACTTGAAATCCAGCCAAAGGCAAGCATGGAAGGCAGCTTCGGCCCCAGCCCAGCCGAGCTTCCCAAGAACAGCGGTGGCAGAAAGGTTTCACTCCAGCCAGCCCAGCTGCAAAGCTGAATAAAGCCCAGATTCTGACTCATTCTTTTTTCACCACATGTCATGAAATTAATCTGAAACATCTGAGCTCAGAACAGCAGAGCTGACACTGGCACCGGCAACCAGTGGCCATTTGCACCAGATTACAGGAGCAGAGCAGGCAGGCCCTAGCTGCTGAGCTGAGCCTCATCCTCTCCCACCCCTGTGGAGGATCTCACAGCCCACAAACCCGAGATCTCGGGGGAGGCACAAGCCCGCAGGGCTGGGTGCAGCCCCAAGCAGGTCAGGCCGGATGCAGTCACTCTTACAAACCCAGTCAGGTAGGAAGCCTCACTTCTCAGCGCTCCTCACACCACAGGGTCAGAGCAAGGTTAAAAGTTATGTCATAGGCAGCTCCGAACACCATCAAACCCCTCAGACCTGCGCTGAGCTGCGCAGAAGCTCCCCCAGCACAGGGAACACAGCTTTGGGCTCGGCTTCAGGAATTGAGCTTCCATCTGTCCTGCTTCAGCCTGGCAAGCACCGAGCTTCCCCACACGAGAGCACACTTCCAAAGTGCTTGCCTTCGGCAAAGCTTTCTCCTAGAGAGACGCACCATTTCCCAAAGCTTTCCTACCTTCTTGCCAGAGGGGAAAAGAGGGGTCTTGGGCATGTAGGTCACCAGCGACAGGTACAAGGCTTTAATGTGGTGCCAGTGTCTTCCAGGCGCCCTCCGGCCAGAGGTGCGCATGCCTGCCTCTGCTCCGGGAGGCAGGGAAGGAGCTGCAGAGCTTACAGTAAGTGCAGAAGGCGGAGACTGCCAGGAAACAATAGAAACAAGGAAGGAGCAATTTTCAAGTTAGCAACTTGTATATCGATGGAAATCAAACTAATGCTAACGAGGGGACCGCAAGCTGTGCTTAGGGAGCAAAGGCACAGAGCTTTGCTCTACGCCAGCACAAAGTCACTTCCCTGCAGAAAGCTGTTTGCTCTTCCCAAAGGTCACTGCAGCAAGTGACATGCCAGCTGGGGTTTGGGGACAGCTGGGCAGCCAGTGACCAGCAGCCAGGCTGGTGGCCCAGCTGGTGCTGCAGGAGCAGAGCGCAGGCAATGGGGCCCAGCACCAGCCAGGAGTCCCAGGCTGGCCCTGGGCTCGGTGTGGGTCAGGGCACCGCACTCCATCCCGCGGCACCATGGGCACATGAGCCCGCCGCAGCTTCTGCGGGAGCAAACCATCACGGTGGGGCAGCCCCGAGGAGCCAGCACGAAGGAAATCACAGCAAATGCCCCAGGAGGTGTGAAGGTCTGGGAACAGGCCAGCACCAGGAGGGGTGCTGGAGGCACAGAGCAGTGCCCGACAAGCAGAGTGAAGAGGAGGTAGATGGGAGGATGGCCATGCCACCCCTTGAGATGGGATTTATTCCCCTCCAGCAAACCAGGCTGCTCTGCCCTAGGCCCCAGGATGGGCTGGAAGCAGGTGAAGACACAAGCGAGAGCAGCTGCTCCACCTAGGAGCCAAGCAGGCTTTTATTAGGCAGGACAGTCATTTATGAAGCTTTGATGGCAAGTAAGACTTCCCTGGGTACACAGTAGCATCAGGCAGGAGTTTTGAACCTCGCTTGGAGCACAGAGCTGGGTGCTTGTGCAGATTTCCAGCAGCACAAGAGATGACCACAGGCACCCTGCCACCACCCGCAGCTGCCCACCCACAGCTCCCATGCCCCAAGGCCCCGCTTGACCACGAGGGGCTGCACAGCATAGAGAGCTGGGTTTCACTAGCAGCTTCTCCAAGATGGGCCCACATATCAGATCACTGTCACCTGACACTTTCAACATCACTGTATGTCGCGCTCTTCTGATCTTTGCTGCACGTGACACTTTCCCCATTTTTCTGGATGCTTTTTGAAAAGGAGAGAAAAGGGGAGCATCCTGTTGTGGACTGAGACACAGGAAGAAGACAGACACTGGCACCTGACATGAAGTTAAAGAGGTTTTTAGAACTTTACAGCATCGAACAGGCCCAAAGACAGGAGCAACACCCACAGGACATTAACCTTGAACAACAACCCTCTGGCACAACCCTCAGTGAAGGCCATGTGAACCAAGCCTGTTTTCAATGGAGCAATGAGAGGGAGGAGGAGAGAGACCCCAGCCCATGCAAGAGCCTGTAAATAACAGACTCTCCTTCAGCCTCAGAGAAAGACTTGCCTTGATGTGACAGGGCCTTTGCAGCCCCAGAACTTTTGTTTTCTGCAACTGCTGACCAAGAAAGGCTGGGCCATTAGCTGCGCAGTTCATGGCTGCGTACTGGGCATCACATCAAAGCCCCCATTCTGCAGTGAATTCAGCTGTTTGCTGGCTGTTTGGCTGCAGCAGCATGTGGAATGCTCCCTCCACACAGGCAGCTGTGGTGTGTTCACAGCCCTTTTAACTTGGTACTGGAGGCTATTATTACAGTGTGAACCATACAGTGCTGCTTCTGGGGGGGAAAACCCCAACAAATACATGGGCCAGGCAACAGCTGAAAACCTACAAGCCACCAGAGTGCCCTGCCTGCCGGTGAGCTCAGCCACCTCATTTCCTATTGCACCACCACGACGGCAACCCCGTGCATGGTGGGTGCTTCTCCAGCCTGTCCGGAAACGGTAGCCACTGCCCCAGCCTGTCTCCTGCCAGAGCAGCGTCCCCAGCCCTGAGCCAGGAGCCGAGGACCGGTGCTGCAGCATCGCCATTGCACGGGAGCCGGCTTCCTGGGCACTGCCCAGTGCAGAACAGTCATGGACAGACTTTCTCCTATCAGGCTGCAGCAGCTGAACCAGATGCCACTTTGCTGGATCCTCCTTGATCCGAGCGGATCTTCCACAAGAAAGCCACAACCTGGGTATTTCAGGGCAGTACTGGAGCCCCAATCTGCAGTGCACCAAAAGGCCAAAAGCAAAGCCCTCAGGCTGCTGCGCAGAAGCGGCATTTGGACAGGAATCAGCCACTTCTCACTGCCACAAATAGCTGCAGGATGAGCCACCGTGGCAGCCCGGGCTCCCACTCAAGCACGAGATCCTCCCCGCTGCAGCGCATGCTCCGCGGCCGCAGGAAGTCGGCGCCCTGCCAGGGCCCCAGCACCGCACACCGTCGTACCGATCCCTGAAAAACAGAACTAGCATGCAGCGAAACATGAGCTGCTCTGCCTCTTCCCACCGCAGGCACCTCCTTGCAAGGCGAGCAGCCGAGGAAGCAAAGGAAGTCACTGCAGACCACAAGCACAAGTACAGAACCACCACAGCAGGCTCGCCCCGCGTGGGAGCGGGGCAGCAGCCCGCAGAGAAGGCCGCTGCCTGCTAGCTGTGCCTGCAGCCAGCCCAGGGCAGGACACTGTCTCTGCTTACCATCCCCAGAGGCTCCATGGCACCCAGTTCTCACCTCGAGGGATCTCTCAGCCTCGAGACGGGCTTTGCTAGAACATGGGCTCATGCCAACAGAGACAGGTCTGCTGCAGCAGGTGACAGGAGGGCACGCAGCCCCGGGGAGGGGGCCCCGTGACAGAGACTGCCTGGCCCACTGTCAACTCAGGGAAGGATGTGGGAAGACAGGACCAGCTGGGAGCAGGAAGCAGTCAGGAAGCCAAAAGCCTCCTCTCCCTCCCGAAGGGCTGAGAGGGGATGTTGCCTCCTTTGGTGTAGCACTGAGCTCCAGCTCCTCCAGCATCAACAGAAGGCAGCCAGGCAGCCTGAAGCACTGACTATCCCAAAGGGAAAAGGTCCCTGTGACGTTCCTTATTGTCACAGTCACTAGCGTTAGGGAAGCTCTGATCTCGTCAGCCCTGAAACCCCACGCAGGAGCCTCTCCCCAGCCAGCCCCGCCACTGGGAAGCCTCCGTTGACTGGATTTAAAGATCTGAGGGTTGAACCTTTCCGATTCTGCTGGGCTTGCCTGTCTCTGCGGTTAGCGTCTCCTCCCGTCTCTGGAACGGAGCCAGGCAGCAACCCATGCAGCCAGGGCCAAGCACTGCATGATGCAAGCCCAGGGGTAAACACACTGTCCAGAGCTCAGAGCAAAGCTGCTAAAAGTAACTCAAGAGCTAAAGTTCATCTTTCTTTAGCTCCCCTGCAAGGACAGAGCACGAGAGCCAGGCCCGAGCTGTGTGGCGTCACTGGCAGCTCGGCAGAGCTCTGCACACTCCAACAGCCTTATTTAAAACAGGGCTGCTGCCCTGGAAGCAGTCCCACAATTGCCTTCCATCTGCTTTCTCGTTTCTGGGACGCGCCTGAGAACAGCCCTCGCCTGTGCCCCCACAACAAGCGGCAATGACCCCCGGGGCAACGTGTATGGGGGGAATCACCAGAGAGAGCCTTGAAAGGACTGTGGCACTTATCCCCTGCATTGCCATGAGCAGGAGGAAGCTCAGTTACCGATAGCACCGCATAGGTCACATTAACAGAGTTATCACCAGTGGGAGCATCATAGACTCATGACAGATGCCATCAACAACGCTTCATGGGAGCCCCGGCTTTCCAACAAACTGCTGCACTGACGCCAGGTGCCTCGCTGCCCCAGCTTCCACACAACAGGCTGATGAAAAACTGTTCTTCTACAACAAAGCAGCTAATTGCTCCAGGCAAACACAAGAGCAAGTTTTGAAAAGGCTATTAGGAGAACTTGGCTCCGCTCCTCTGGAGTGTTTTCAAAGCCAGCCCTGGAGGTGGAAAAAGAGAGCAGTGATGCAGAGATTTGTGAAAGGAGAAGAGGGTGACAGCGCAGGGCAGATGGAGGCTCTGGGAGACCTCGCAGCCACAGCACCGAGTTCTCTGATCAACCCACAGGCCACAGCTGGCTGTTCCTCACTGCAGCTCAGCAGCTCTCCAGGGTCCATCCCAACACATAACTCTCACTGCAGAAGCTGCGAGTAATGCTGTCACCATCCCCCCCAGGGCAGAGGATGCCCAGCCACACACCCCTCCTGTCCTCTGCCACCACCACTCCAGCAGCTCCAACAGATCCACAGGAAACAGCAGAAGAGGCTGCACTGGGGAGTGACAGCGACAGCAATCACTTTCAGGGTGGAAATGGGGTCAACTGCCCTGAGGTGCACACACAGGCAGGGACAGTACCCTGCAGACGCAGAAGGGACCTTCTCTGGAGCGGGCCCAGGGCAGCCCACCCTCCACACCTGGGACACCACCGCTGCTCCCCCCACACTGCCGGTCCTCCAGCTGCGCCCCTCCAACAGGTGCACATGGGTGTGCACAGGCAGCCTGTGGAACAGGAATCACGCACACCTCAGGACAGTGTTGTGCTGAGTGGTGGGAAGCTGACAGGCAGCACAGAGGCCAGCAGCAGGCAGGAGTGGTGGGCAGAGCTGTCAGCACCCACAGAGCGCTCTGGCTACTCGGCCACACGGCTCATATTCACCCGAGATGCATGACCCGACAGCTCTGCTCTGCACCTGCTTCTCGGCCACTCTGCCTCACACGTACTGCTGGCAAGGATGGTTATCGAACCAAAGCCTGGTCCAGGCAGAAGACCCCAAGCAAGACGTTGCTGAGCAGTTCTGTTCAAGGGGTGGCTAAAGCTGCAGCCCTGAGCTCACAGCTCTACTAGAGAG